CAAAGTCATTACATAAATACATCAAACTAGAGTCTCCTGCTTAGTGATCGGTGCGAAAAACTCCGTAAATCTTATTAAGGACACAACTGACCCAGGTCCAGCTAATGGAGATTCCCCAGAGTTTAAAAACTGAAAGGGAACTACACAACCGAGCGACGTAACTGAACTAGGTAGTTTTTGAATTTTGTTTCGATTGAGTTGTTTTCCTTTTTCGCACAGGCATTATGGGTTTGATTCCATGCTCAAACAAGGCTTTGCATGTAAGGTGTTCCAAAAATTGAAGGTAAAAATGCAAGAAAATGAAATTTTGGCGGAGTAATAAATTTCGCATAAAACGAACGGACATTTTTCGCATTGTTCGATATACTTCGCAACTCGCAATCATCTAAATTATCAAAATAGGAATATTAATTTCAGAGAATAAGTGGGGGAAGTTTCTCACTCGAGAGACTGTAGAGTTGCGTCGATTAGGTTTTTGGAAAGATTAGATAGGAGTCGCAAAATGCATACTGAATGGAAAATGAGTATGTTCTAAAATGTAACTGTAGGCCGAATATCAAGTACAATTACCTCTTGCTTTTCAAAGAACGTGCACCCAAGAAGAAGATTTTGCTAACCCTCTATGACCACATTCACAAATGAATGTATTCAATAGCCTTAGAAGTATTTACAATAGAAAATATAATCATACCTGTAATAAGAAGGTTTTTCTAGCGATGACTCCAAATAAACCGCGCAGCTGGTAACGAAACGAAAGTAAAATTGAGCCTGAAAACAAATCGGAATAATTATTTCAATGAGACAGAATTTCAATGAGACTGTCATAATCAACGTTTATGCAAACTGCTACGATTAGTTTCAATTGGATGGCTTAGATTCCTTACTCGTGTAGCAGACTAGGTTCAAATTTAGTAGTGTTCCTCTGTCCTGACTCTGCCCTGACGTTTCAGGCCGACTGCTCGAAACGTCAGATTTGAAACTCTCTACGGCGACCAATTTGCGTCATCAACTCGTTACTAATACTAAATTGTCCTGTTATACTCTCTCACCGACGCAGCACCACAGTTTCTTTAGAAACTTGACTCTTTATAAATTCAAATGATGAGAGATGGTAAGTTTTGAGCTCGGCAAAGAAATAAAGAAAGATGTTTTTTGTCTTTTCAAGAGCGTAGGACTAGTCTAGGACTCTATTTACAAACATTACGCTATCGACATTGCTGATCCTAGCAGTATGCAGGACGCGTGTCATATGGACTTCGTAATACACCTCGCTCACCGCGGAGTCTCTATGGCTCAGTGGTAGAGCATCGGAGCGCAGAATCCTAAGGTCTGAAGTTCGATTCCTCATGGGGACTCAGAAATTTTTCTGTCCCACACTCGTAACAAGACGAAAAAAACATATTCCTTAATTTCTTCACCGAGCTCAAAACTTACCATCTCTCTTATTTTTTTCTACAAACATAACGCTATCGACATTGCTGATCCTAGCAGTATGCAGGACGCGTGTCAGATGAACTTCGTAATTGAATTCGCTTACCGTGAAGTCTCTATGGCTCAGTAGTAGAGCATCGCGCAGTTTGTGCATTAGTAGACCCAGTGGAAGGGTATGGGGGTAGCCCCTCAAGCTAGCCCCTCAGACGCTCTTTTCTTCATTTGCATGTCAAAAGAGCCTTATCGTGAGCTGTCAGTCTGTCAGTCTGCTAAGGCAAGCTTTGCTAGACTAACTGAAAAATTCACAGTGTGAGACAATTTTTACGTTGCATTGGTAAATGATTGGGTGTGGAATGAAGTGAGATCTCTTTTCAGGACTTGTTGTTTTACACTCGAGCAAAATCTGCTCTTATGTTTATTCGATAGAAATAAGATGGTTTTCTTTCATATTTAAATTTATTGTCTACTTCCCCGTAACATGTTTCAAATATATTATTCAACAAGTAGATTGTTAATTGATGCTGGAACGACGAGTTTTTTATTTGACTGTAGACATGGATACTGTTCCTCGCGTAAACGCGGGATTGGATGAGATCTAGGTCTTCATGAAAGCAAACAACTTTATAAGTTCGCATAAATGGTGATTCCTCATAGCTATAGGCTGTTCCATGAGGTGAAACAACGAACAAAGGTTGAACCAAAACTCTCACATGTTTCAAGAATGTGCCCGCTATGCCAATGCTCCGGCAGCAAAAAGGTTTACATTGCATGAAATTTTTTGAGATACTTTTCAAACTTTTAAACGATCATGTGTGAGTATTTACGTTGATTGACGTTCAGTAATAGGATGCTTGCTCTGTAGATTTGTCAGAGGCAATTCAGCTTGAGATGTAGTGCTTGGGGCTCTGCGAAACATTTCACAAATACCTGCCCTAAATTCTGGCAGTCTTATTGCATACACAATAGGATTTGACAGGGAATTAACGCCAACTAAAGCCGCTAGCGTCATTGTTATGTGAAAGTAGGAACGTTGAGGGTACCAGCTTGAGAGAACATCTTTATGCCTATATGCAACTATTCTGAAAGTTGTAAATGGAAGCCATGTCATCAAAGATGCAAGCGTGACAATAAGTAAGGTGGCGGTCAATTATCTTTCTCTATTGGTTGCACCATGATGTCGAGGATTAGAACTGAATCGAACTTTTATGAAAATAGCAACATAAGAGACACAAATCAAAATTAGTGGAACTGTTGAGAATGATACCGCAAGATGAGAATTTCCTTGTGTTTTGAGTAACACGATTTGAACAGTCTCCCTCAATGAAGTTAGAAACCAAATAGCGGCAATTGCCATTGCGTAAACCTTTTCTTAATTACACGATGCTCAAATGGAAATAATGTGGCATGCATTCTTTCTAAAGAAATAGCAGCGAGATTTACGAGTGAGGCTACGGGAAACAAATTAGCCAATGGGGAAATCGTCTGAGTTTGCCTCCATAAATCGCAATAGTGCCCCAAAAGATCATGAACAGCCACAGGACCCGAAACTGCTCCAGCCAAAAGATCGGCTGTGGCCAGGTGGATGATCAAGTATGTACTCTGGCGCTGTAGTTGGCGCTGCTTCACAAATACAATAATGGTGAGGAGATTGAGGATGACAATGGCCAGACATTCAGTGATGGAAGCAACAAGCCACGGGATGCAGTCCGAGGAATGACTCAGGGTGAAATTCTTCTCCGCATAGCTTTCGTTGTTAGTAGTGTTTCTGATTTCTTCGGCCATTGAGTAGCTGCAAAAATTTTCCAGAAAGAAAAATATTACTTGAATGTGAAAGTGATCTTCGCAGTGATGATCACTACGTAAGCAGAAATGAAAATAAGGTCTGAAAAAAATGTATGGGATTTAAAACTATGACCTTTACGATACCGGTGTAGCGCTGTACCGAATTAGCTAACGAGCCAACTGGGAGCTGGTCATTAAGTTAGTTCCAAATAAACCCGTAAAGTGATGAATAAATGACTGTGAATATACGAAAATCATGTATGTGAACTGCGGATAAAGACGTGAATATGGAAGCGATCTTCGCAGTAAAAAAATTCAAATCTTCACGGGTTTATTAGTATGGAACCAACATAATGACCAGCTTCCAGTTGGCTTGTTAGCTCAGTTGGTAGAGCAGCGCATTGGTATCGCAGAGGTCATGGGTTTAAATCCCGTAGTGTTCATTACTGCGAAGATCGCTTGCATATTACATGATTTACATGATTTACATGATTTACATATATTTACAGCCGTTAAAAAATATTACTTGTGTGTCAAAGGAGGAGAGTCCTTACTTTCTCATGACTGAATACAACTTTACAACAACGACGGCTTTCAAGTTAGATAAACCAAGAATAAATTTTATCACCCCTCACTAGTTGGCGATTTAAAGATTTCATTTATAGGAAACGCAAAATTTTACCATGTTCTTTACTTCTTGTATCCACCGTCTTCCCGCTAACTGACAGGTACCTGTAACACTTGTGCTGGTAACCAAATTGAAGGCTTTCGAATTTAGCGGTAAAAAACGAATCCAAAGCCTTCTCTATTTCCACTCTCTGCGGCACTGTCTTCCGGAGCCGTATCTCTCTTCCGCCTACATACACAAATAACAAAAACTTCTATTTAAATCCCCCAACCAAAATTAAATTTCAGGCAGGAGAGTCTCCTCATACCTTAACTTTGAATGGAGCAGAATCGCGACGCAGTTAGATGAACATCGAAGTTTTACTTTGTGCTTTTTCGTGCTCTCGAGCATAGAAAACCACAGAAACACTTTGTAATAATCGTCTCTATTTGTAATACAATTGTCACACTTTGCAATACCTGTCACACTTTAGAATGCGTATCGCACATTGTAATAACACTTGTCGCACATTGTAATAACACTTGTCGCACTTTGTGATCACACTTTTGGCACTTTGTAAAAAAAACGCTGTCGCACTTAACAAACCTACCTGTCGCAATAGGTAATAAACCTGATATAGATGGTCAAGGGTAAGTGGAGTCAACAACAACCTTTATAACTCTCGTAAACGACAATCTGGATGATAATAATGATGATATTGATAACAATAGCAATAATAGTAATAACAATAATAATAATGAGAATAGCTATAAATATGATAATGATGATGATTGACATACTATAACAGTAATAGTGATGGTGATATTGACGAAAATGAAAATGTGTATAATACGTTGACTGGCTGTCCTAGAAGTTTGCCGAGACCACAATATTTCCATACTCCTTTATTTTAGTTCAGCTTTATTCCAAGGTATAACCACACGTAAAATATTATGGACCATTTTGGTTCACACTGTCAAATTTTTCTTACGGTTGAGCGACATTTGTCCCTAGTGTTTTTTTTCTTTTTCTTGCTGGTGTTGTGTTTCGCTCCTCTGTTCAAATGAAAGGCACTTCGTTGAATGCTGATACATTTCATCTGTAGCTACGTATCTAGTGAATTCCTCATCAGTTGTGATTTTTGGAGAAACTCTTATTACAAGCTTTACTGACAATTAAATCAGGCATCATCATCTAGTCTACTCGTGTGCAGAGGATTTCGACGCGGTAAACTGCCTGGAGCGATTTGCCTTGGAGTCCTACGGAATATTCGACATATTCCATCTCGAAAATCAGGCATCCTGAGGGCATACACAATTGGATTTAACAAGGAATTGGCACCAACTAGCGCCGCCAGTGTCATCCTGATATGAAAGAAAGACCTCAAGTTAAGAGCGTTTGTATTTAGGCTAAATACAATAAATGGCAGCCATGTCAGTAACGATGCAAGCGTAACCCAAAGTAACGTAGCTGCCAGTTTTCTTTCTCTGTTGATTGCACCGTGGCGTTGAGGATTAGAGCTGCGTCGAACTTTTATAAAGATTGAAATATAACAGATGCAGATGACTAAAAGAGAAACTGACCAATATGTGTATGGCGAGATTGCAATGGTGACAGGAGACACGACACTTTCTGTATTATATACGATAACTTGAACAGTCTCCCTCGATGAAGTCATTAACCAGATAGTACCAATTACTACTCCATAAACCCATTTCTTGACAAAGCGATGCTTAAATGGAGAGAATGTTGCATGCAGTCTTTCCAATGAAATGACTGCGAGATTAACAATAGAAGTCACTGGAAAAAGGTTTGCTAATGGAAAGATTTCAGTATTGTACTTCCATAAATCACAGTAAGACCCCGTCACGATTCTGTGAACTCAAAAGGGTTGTTTATTGTGCGAACTCGACTGCCGCCACGTGTGTATTCGTTGTCTCCTAAGTCTTCTAAATATAAAGATGTTCATCGGCCCAGTGGCGTGACCGTGTAACGCAATATCACGACATCTTCCCCTTTTTACAAAGTTTATCTTCAAAAGTTAATTAATACTTAATGTTCGGTTTCGATCACTGTTCAAATCACATAAAATCGATAAAACATTGTTCTTCATTGAAATCATAAAAAGATAGAAACAGAACCCAACAACTATTTAGCGGCTCAATCATTCAATGTTCAGTTCATATGGTAATCCTGATGCCACAAAGGCGGTCGACGTCTGCGTTCTGATCGACGAGTTTCAATCCTTTGTGGCTCAAGCTCAGTTCCCATCTCATTTTCAGGTGGCATTCTCTCTGTTTTGGTCTCGCCATGGAACTCCGGTGGAGGAGGTCCTGGCTCTGTCAGATTTGGCGCCGGTTTGAGGGTAGACTCGGGCGGAGTTAGTTCTACCAGACTCATAGGTGGTGCTGTTTCCGGGGTCAGGCGCAGTTGCCGACGGTTGCGTCGGTATCGCCTGCCGCAAACTTCAACTTCATAAGACCTGTTCCCCAAGGCTTTCATGCAGGTCCCCAGACTCCATTCCTCCCTTCCGGGAAGCCGCATCCTGATGGCCTGTCCATTCCACACTTTAGTGCCTCTAAAGGGCGAAACTTTTTGTTGTATTGTTGAGCTTGTCTTTTCTTGCGCTCAGCTAATTTGGTGGCTGTTTCCTGGTGTGATGGCTGCCGCAGGAGCGTTTCATGGGTTGGTAAGAAAGTGCGTGTGCGGCGTCCCATCAGTCTCTGTACGGGTGATGTTCCTAGACCCTCTGTTGGGGTGTTGCGCCAATCAAGAAGGGCTAACAGCGGGTCTTGCCCATCCGCTTTCGCTTTCGTCATCAAGTTCTTGCAGGTCTTCACGGCATTCTCGGCGCGGCCATTTGACTGGGGGTAACGGGGGCTCGAAGTTCTATGTTCAAACTGCCATTCTCTCACGAATGCACTGAACACCGATGACGTAAACTGAGGTCCGTTGTCGGTAATAAGCACGTCTGGTATCCCATGGCGGGCGAATTGTACTTTACACGCAGCTATCACGCTAGCAGATGTGGCCACCTTAACCTCCTGGACTTCAAAGAACCCACTCCAGTAGTCGACTAGGACAAAGAAATGTTGTTGCCCAAGGTCAAAAAAATCGGCACCTAGCATCGACCAGGGACGCGACGGGATCGGATACGGTTGCAATTCCTCGCGGCACTGATCTGGCTGGTACGACTGGCAGATTGAGCATTTGGAAACAAAGTCCTTTACTTCCGAATTCATGAGGGGCCAATAGAGGACCTCCCTAGCGCGACGTAAACACCCTTCGATTCCAATATGTGATCGGTGAATTTGCTTCAACATTTCTTTTCTCAGGGAAGGGGGTACCAGCAATCGCTCCCCCAGGAATACTAGTCCCTTGTCTTCTATAAGCTCACTTCGTTTGTCATAGTAAGGCGTCAGCTCAGGGGTACAGGACTTCCTTGACACTGGCCATTCACCCTTGATTGCTCCGATTAGCTTTTGCATCACTGGGTCCCTGGCAATCTCGTTTCTGAATTCAGCGAGCCTGTATGGTGCAATCGAGAGGTTTTCTGAATGATCTATCTCGGCAAGTGTACAGATCAGACTTGTATCGTGCTTGGAGGCTTCGGTGGTGTTGCGGTATGCTCGACTCAGTGCATCTGATACCCACATAAGTTCCCCTTTTTTATACTGCACATCCAGGGAGTAATTCTGAAGGGCCATCAGCATTCTCTGGAGTCTCTTTGGTGAGTTGTGTATTGGCTTGGTAAAAACTGCCCTTAGTGGTTCGTGGTCAGACTCGATGTGTACAACTTCGCGTCCCAGTATGTATTGATTGAACTTGTCGGTTGACCACACTATGGCGAGGAGCTCTTTCTCGATTTGAGCGTAACGCGTTTCGGTGTCGGTCAGAGCTCGCGAGGCAAAGGCAACGGGCTGACCCTTTTGCATCAGTACTGCACCTAGACCCGTTATGCTGGCATCGCATTGGATTGTCACTTCTTCAGTAACATCATAGTATTTCAGTACCGGGGCCTTGGCCAAGTATTCTTTGACTGTGGTAAATGCTTTCTCATGCTGTGCAAGCCAACACCACTCGACGTCCTTGTCCTCAAGCCTTCGCAAAGGTTCTGTCATGTCGGACAGGAGTGGCAAGAATTTGGCCAGATAATTGACCATCCCCAAAAACCTCTTCAGGCCTTTCACATCAGTCGGCGGTGGCATATCCAAAATAGCTTCAACTTTGGCTGGGTCTGCCTTTAGACCATCAGGAGTCAAGAGGTGGCCCATGAAACGCACTTCGGTTTGAGATCTTTTCAGCTTGAGTTTGTTGAGCTTGAGGTTCCACTCCCGGCATTTCTTGAAGAACGCACGTTCGTTCTTTTCAAGGCTCGAGTTGACCTCTGCGTCAGTTTCGCCAAATCCAGCGATGAGGAAGTCGTCAGCGATAACTTCAACTCCTTCTAAATTTTCTACGAATTCATGCATGCGTCGCTGCCAAACTTCAGGCGCACTTGAGATACCAAAAGGCATGCGGGCCCATCTATAACGCCCAAAAGGCGTATTGAACGTTGTCAGGAAACTAGAAGCATCGTCTAAGAGGATTTGGTGGAAACCATCCTTGGCGTCACAAAGAGTAAATTTCTTGGCACCTGTTAAGCGGGAGGCCACTTCATCGATAGTCGGCAACTGGTAATGCTCTCGCCGAATGGCACGATTTAAATCTCTCGGGTCAATACAGATGCGTACTTTGTTTGGCTTCACTATGGCCAACATGCTGGATACCCACTGCGTCGGTTCTGTTACTGGAATAATAACTTTACGATCAACAAGTTCGTCCAGCTTGTTTTTGATGCATGGACGCAAGGCTACTGGCACTCGCCTCGGTGCGTGGACAACTGGTTGCGCCTGTTCGTCTATGGCTATTTTGTATGTTCCCGGTAGGGCCCCTAATCCGTCGAATACGTCCTCATACTCTTCGAGCAAGGAGGCTTTGGGACACTTGACGTGTAATGCTAGGACGTCACAATTATGCAAACTCACAAAGCCAAGATTGAGGCTGGTGTTCAATGATAAAATCGGTTGATAGTCTCCGTCTAAGATGTTAAACTCCATTGACCTCCGCTGTCCACGGGACCACACAGGCAGGGTAGCTTTACCAGCAATTTTGCGGCGATCCCCTGTGTACGAGACTATTTCCTTTTGGCATGGTTTGAGGCGATGAAGGAGGGTGTCCCCAGTGATTTGCTTGTATAATTGGGCCGGGAGAATGTCGCACTGCGACCCAGTATCTATTTGAAACTGGACTTCTGTCTTGGGATCTGGCCCATAAATGTGGAGTTTGACCACTGCCAATTTTTCCTGGCCTTTGCTCTTACTAGTAGTAGCACCAATGTAGTAGGGGTCGTTTCCCATGTCGACGGCTTCGTGGACCGCCGAAACTCTACTTTTCACTCCTCGGGGATTAGCGCGACATTTATTCGCAAAATGATTCATACTCCCACAGTTAAAACATGTTCTTCCATACGCGGGACAATGACGTCCATGCACCATTCCGCAATTTCCACATTCTTTAGACGGTCTTCTAAATGCTTGTGACTTAAGTTGTCGTTCTTCTTCAGGTTTTTCTGCCGATCCCGCCTTCCGTAACGCATGAACTGCAGTGTCTCCTCCAGCCATTAGCTTTACTTGCTGTTGGGTCTGTTCTGACGACTTAATAATGTCAACTGCTTGTAGGAGAGATAAATCATTCAAACGGAGAAGTCTCTCGCGGACGCGATCATCCCGTATGCCTAGCACGAGGCGGTCACGCAAAATTTCATCTGGTGTGATTGTATCGTGTGCACAGTTTTTTGCGATCGTTCGAAGCTCCGTAAGATACGTCGAGATGTTTTCGCCTGGTTCCTGGTTTCGGTTGTTGAACCTATAGCGTTCATATATGACCTGTGTCCTAGGAATGCAGAATTCGTCGAACTTCTTCAGGACTTGTGAAATGTCGTCTGCGTTTTCGTCTTCGTTCCAAATAAAGGTATCGTGGGCTCTGACGCCATCCTCGCCTATAATGCTTAGTAATGTCGACACACGAACTATGCCCTCTTGTTTATATACACCAGTAGCGATTTCGTAGCGCTGCCACGCTGCTTTCCACGATTTCCATGCGGTGGCTAAATTGTCGTCAAAATTAAGCGCTTTCGGCGGGGGCAAATTTGACGGGGGAATAAAAACTTGAGTCGGCGCTGGTGGCACAACTATGGATGCTTCAGCTGCTTCTGTCATCTTTAGGGGTGAACAGATCCCACTTCTGACACCATGTCACGATTCTGTGAACTCAAAAGGGTTGTTTATTGTGCGAACTCGACTGCCGCCACGTGTGTATTCGTTGTCTCCTAAGTCTTCTAAATATAAAGATGTTCATCGGCCCAGTGGCGTGACCGTGTAACGCAATATCACGACAATCGCAAGCTAAGTTAAATGAATCAATAGAACAGGCAGACAGGAAGAGGACATTAATAAAAATTAGTAAATGTATCGTATGACCTCTTACTTTACAGGTGTAGACTATTTTAGACTTTCCGGCATTTTGGCAGGAGTGACTGAAAAAAACTTACGGTTCCATTATTCCTTTTTATTAAACACATCCATTTAAAAAAAACACGGTTCCAATCCTTTTACACTCCATTTACCTCGCGCTTTCTTCTATGATTTGAATTTCGGTTTGTCTTTAAACTAAATGGTCTAGAATAACAACCTTTCATTCTTCTTAATTCATTCTGGCGAAGACTCCACCGCTTTGGAAAGCAACATGAACAACGACAATAAAATTTATTTATTTACTTTGGCAATTTAAATTCCTAGCAATCCCTACCCAAAAAATGGCGAAGCTAATCGAGGAAACAAACGTTCTTCAAGTTTCACTGCAAAGAGGAATTTACTAGGAGAGCATACACATACAGGAACGTTTTAAAGAAATAGTACGATGAATTACAGAGGAGCCAATTAGGTATTACGTATTACAACCAGAATAAAATTACACGCGAAAAACAAAAAGAAAGAAAATGAATCTAAAAATGGAATAATTTTCTAAATTTGTCAGCTAAAGTATGGACGTCAACATAAGTATCCTCTCGCGTCAAAATGTTCAGCAGCTGTCTATGTATACCATTTAAATTCATATTTGGGTAGAGAAAGAAGACGGATGGGAATACTACTCCATATCCTTGCACCCAGTCTTGAGAAAGAATGTTTCTTATGTTTTTTTCTCGAATGTTTAAGATAGAGATTATCAGCCGCTGAGGACCTTGTATAATAATGGTGTTCTTCTGAAGAATAACTAAATAATTCTGAAGTGTTGGGTGGTGTTAGATCGTTGACAAATCATGCATAAAAAACAGATTGTCTTGAAATAGAGCAGATGACGAGGAAGAATGTTTGACAAGTTGACAAAAGATACAGCGTGAAATTTAAAGGGTTTGAAAAATATTATGCGGAGAGCATGTTTTTGCAGAATCAACACGTTTT